TGGCACCCCGGCCCAAACATGAAGTGACCCGACCAAATAGAGAGGGTCTATCGATCCAATTAACAGCAAGAAACCCAAGAAAAGAAGGAAAAAGTAGAAGATAGAAGAGGGAGGAGGAAGGAGAAGAGAGAAGAATCGATTTTGAGTCAGAAAAATCAGGCTAGTGGCGCCAGCTGTTCTTTTTATATTAAGAGGTAAAAAGTAAAAACAATAAAATGACAATAGTACCCCTTCAGCACCTATAAAGATAAAACAATAAAAAAAAACATACAACACTCCCCCTCTTGGGGCATAGATATCTATCATGCCCAACTTGTCACAATGACCATTGTGCTACTGGTGAAGAAGCCCCTTAAAACACATCTACAAGTTGCTCCTTGGAACTAATATAGGGAGTGGCGGAGTGCATACTTCCCCCACTTTGAAGCTTTTCTCTAATAAAATGTTCATCCACTTCTATATGCTTGGTTTTGTCATGCAGCACCGGATTGGCTGCAATATTAGTGACTAAGTTACCTCCTATAAAGATACAATATCCACTGGTGGGCCTTCTATCATCAATTCACTCAGCCCAATTAGCATCAATGTACACTTCAACTTTTAGGTGGCCATTCTTCTTGAACAACAATCCATTTCTAGGGAATTTCTTGAGATACCTAAGAACACGCTCTGCAGCCCCTATGTGAGCAACCTTAGGGGCATGCATAAGCTGGCTAAGTATACCACAACATAGGCATGGATGGATCGTCGCTCATTGATGATGCTTAAGATATTTGGAAGATGGCCTAGAGTTATCGGGAATACCAAAACAAAAATCATTTGGAGTTGCATCCCCTTTGCAATGTGTTGGAAGGTTTGGAAGGAAAAAAATAGAAGAATATTTGAAGGGAAAAGGACAAGCAATGAAGATTTAGGGGTGTTAATCAATTCCAAGACTCTCCACCAATTACCATGTACCATTCTTATGCATGGCATTGATTTCCTTCTTCATTAAATTTGTCCATTCAGGAATAGTAAGAGCCTCTGCAACATTTTTAGGGATGGGGACACTATTAATGGATAAGAGGAAAGCATGAAAAGAAGGTGAGACATTTTCATAGGAAACATAATGTGAAATTGGATGATTGGTGGTACAAGATCTGACACCCTTCCTTTTGGCAATGGGAAGGTCCAGATCACTAACAACAGAGGTATCAATATCAATAGGATTAAAATCATCAATCGGGATAACGGTACCTGGTTGAGTGGGATCTTCCCTAGAGAGTTTAATGATATGGGTTGCACAGCTTCAGGTTGATCCATGTCTCTTGAGCTTTACTAACCCTTAAGACGATGGAGGAAAACACAGAAGAGAGGAGGATCAAGAAGAGGAGGGAACTGAACCTGAATTGGTTTCTCCTCAACCCTACTCTCCCCTTGAGGAGAAACAAGGAAGGACTTAGTCTTAAAGGACACATCCATGGAGATATAGTACTTTTGGGACACGAGATGAAAACACTTATAGCCCTTTTGTGAAGAGGGATAACTGAAGAAGAAATATGGAATAGCTTTAGGATTAAGCTACCACAAGTAGGGGACAAATAATGGGCAAAACATTGGCATCCAAACACACACATGGGAATTGAGAGCAATGGAGCATTATGAAAGAGAACTTGGTGTGGGGTCTTATAATCTAACAACCAAGAAGGCATCCAGTTGATAACATAGGCAGTAGATAGCACAACATCCATCCAAGAACATTTAGGGACATGCATATGCAATAGCATGCCTTGAGCAACCTCAAGGAGATGATGGGAAAATACTCGGTAGGATGATGGTACAATAGAGAAGTACAAGGCTAGGCTAGTAGCAAAAAAGTTCAAACAGGTGTATAGAGTGGATTATGTAGAGACTTTTTACCTTGTAGTCAAGATGAATTGCATTAGAGTTCTACTATCTTTGGCTGCTAACCTAGACTAAGATCTTCATCAGCTGGACATCAAGAATGCCTTCCTGAATGGTGACTTAAAGGAAAAGGTATACATGGTTCAACCCCTTGCTTTTCTTATTTTGGTTTGATCTTGGCTTCACTCAACTCCTGAGCCCACTTCGGCTTTCCAATAATGTCCCAACAACTCTCTAGAGTATGCCTCGTTCGCTGACAATAAGTGCACCATAACTTATTTTTGTCCACCTTTATTATGGAAATCACCCTTTCTTAGAGTATTCATTGTACCCCTAACTTCCAAGGCTATTGACTCCTCCTCAAGAGGATTCATTGCATTCTTTCTACTTTCTTCGGATAGGATCAAGGCATACACTTCTTGAACAAATGAGGGATCCTTGCTACCTAAAATTTGAACTCTAATAGGCTCATACACTGGGTTCATTCATTCTAAGTAAGAATGCAAACACACACAGCTGGGATGCCAATTTCTTGTAGGTCTTAGCATCCTTATCACTTTCCCATTCAATGCTCTGATAATGGTCCAGTTCCTTCTAGATAGTTGTGAGTAGACCTGTTCATGGGCCGGGTAGCCCGATGGGCCAGCCCGGCCCGACTCGATCTAAGTTGGGCTTGGACAAGATTTCAGGCCCGCGGGCTCGGGCTCGGGCCTAAAATATTGGGCCCGACTTTTTTTTAAGTCAGGCTCGGGCTTTCTCAAAAAAGCTTGGCTCGAGCCCGAGCCCGACTTGATAATGTATTATATTAATAAAAATATATTTTATATAATAAAAAAGCATATATATAATATATTTTTTCTTCTCTTTTTTCAAGTAATAATGAGACTTTTCATTATTTTTTTAGGTTTTGAGGTCTTTTAGTATAAATAAAACAACTTTTAATTGAACTAAAAAGGAAGAATCTTTTTTTTTTCCAAATTTCTAGTCGGTCTCGGGCTTGGGCTCAAGACCTAGGCCCAATGGTCGGGTCGGGTCGGGCTTGGGCTCGGGCCTGAACATTTTCTGTTAATGTAAAGGCAAAGCCCGGCCCGGCCCGTGAACAGGTCTAGCTGTGAGAGCTGAGTGATAAACAGATAGGCTGCGTTTGCCCCACTTGCATGTAGAAGACTCTGCTTACAACTGATAGATCCTGGCAGAGTGTCTCTGTTTGAATATGTAGTGTTTGCTTGTTCCCAGATTTCACAGGCTGTATCTACCCACATAAAATTCTGTTTGATTGATGACACCATGGAAGTAAGAAGCCAAGACATAATTAGGCAATTTTCCTGATCCCACTTACTATGTCCTGTAGTTCTAGGTTTCGGTTCCTTCACTATTCCATTAATATTAGCCTATTTTCCCCTTAGTTGTATTGTACACCTTTATCTCCTTGGACCACACTAGGTAATTTTTGCCATCAAGAGGAGTGATAGTCATGGAAAAGTTCATATGATCTACCCCCTAATCAGCCCTCATTGGCTAGAAGTCATTCTAGATGAGGCAGTATCATTAGACACCATTGTGATAAAACACCAAAGTCCTTATAATTCACACTAAAAGAGGCACAGGATCAACACTACTGAACACAAGCCAGCAATCAAACTGCAGATTACAACTAAAAAATTACTGCACCCTTCAAAGACAATCCAGACCATCCCAAGCCTGGATAGAGGTTACTCACCACCAAGTTAGGTCACACGATCACAAAAAACTAGGTGATCACTGCTGTTAGAGCAGAAATAGGTCATATCAGGCCCAACAAAGGTACTAACCATGTTACAGAGGAATAAATCAGACCACACATCCACCAAACAATGGCTCACTACTGCTGATACTGTGAAAAACTACCATACCAGACCTGGAACTGGCACATACCTGGTTACAGAGGATCACATGATCCACACAGAGGTTGGAAAGAATTCTTAAACACCCTAACAGCATCTAGCCACATTGTGACTGATTTGTCTTGGTACCACGACTAAGAAGGAAGGAAAAGGCTACTTGAACTGTTTCAGACCCAGTCAATGTGATCTTCACTGAGTTTCAATCCAGAAAAAGTAATAAACAAAGGAGGCTTGAACGATCTGCTCTCAGGTTCCAATGGTGCGCTCTGATAACATATTAACAGCAAGGAACCCAAGAAGAGAAGGGAAAAGTATAGGAGGGAAGAGAGTCGAAAAAATTAGGCTAGCAGTGCCAATCATTCTTTTTATATTAAGAGGCAAAAGTAAAAACAATGAAATGACAATAGTGCCCCTGTGGCACCTACAGAGATAAAACAATAAAAAACAGCATACAACAGATCCCTATCCAACCTGTCCCACGATACATCTATGCTCAAACAGACCTATATATATATATATATATATAATATTTCAATGTTACAGTGCCGGCAAGTTGGCTTCAGCAAAGTTCCACTGCAACCTGAACCCAACCCGAAATCTGATCAAGGTTGACCCAACCCTAATCTGACAGGGACAGATCAGGGCGGGTTTACCACTTAACCCGATCCACTGACATCCCTAGCTTCAACTGCCCATTCATTCAAGCTTCCTCTAAGCAGGGGGCACCAAACAATAGTGTGGTCATTCTGGACTTCATGGTTTTCCACAATTCTAGATTCCTTTATTACAGCAATATCAAAAAGAGAAGGGAATAATACATCATTCAAGGGCCTCTTGGGACACCAAATATCTTCCCAAAAACTCACACTTTCTCCATTTCCCACCACATACCTGGTACTCTTAAAGAAGCTTTTATAAGATTTTTCTATCCCTTTCCAATTAGAACATCCATAAAAAGAATTACCCTACCTTGGGTCGCATCCTTTGTTTCTTGAACCATATTTTGCTTCTCTCTGTCCTTTCCAAACAGCACATGTATATTTTGGAGTTTGTAAATGTTGGTAGGGCTATTGATTGTTGGAGCTTCTTATACTTTTGTTTGGAAATTATTAAAGAAACTAAGTTGTATGCATAATTGTATAATGTATTTATGTGCGCTTATCTCTCTGCCCTCTTACTTCTCTAGTTTGCAAACTCCCACTTATAATACTTGATATAATTTCCATAATGTAGGGAATCTATGAGAAAGGATCAAGAGATGAAATTGAGGAGTTCATTTATCAGTTATTAGATGTAACTGGGGATGGCGTTTGGGGAAGGTACAATCATTATTCCATTTATTCATGACTATCTCTAGGCTCAAGGGAAATTGATTATTGTCTTCTTTAAATCATGTGATTCAAAAACCACTCTGCTTTTGCTGGCAACGTCTAGGTACTTTTTTTTTTTCCTTTTCTAGGATCAAATATTAAGAGTATCTAACTATTATGCCCAAATATGGATATGGATATGGGAAATGGGTATCAACTCTCCATTTCCTAAAATCCTGGACACAAATATCTAACTCTCCATTTCCCATGCAATGTTTGCAAATTGTTGTTGACCTGCCCAGTCAGATCATTCAAACCGTCAACTGGACAAGAAAGAAGGTCTGTTTCACCATAAACCTGGAATTTAAGAATAAACCATAGACTTTAGTCAAAAATCGATGACCCGGACAATCAAACCAGTGAACCGCTCGAGTCGTTTGCAGGTTGTGGTTCAACCCAGAGTCAAATATATATAAAAGTTAAAAAACCCTACTTCTATGTTTTCTTCTCTTTTCCACATTCTTCATCTTTTGTTTCTTCTTATTACACTAACCTGCAGCTTCTTTTTACAGAAACCACCATTCTATCATATTTCAAACATATCTTTGCTTCCATTTATAATAATTACACTTACCCACTGCTATTGACTTCTTGCCACTGCCATAGATCCATCTAGCATTCTTGTTGCTGCTAGGCAACTTCTAGGGATCTATTGCTGCTGCTATGCAAGCAAGGTGCTGTCAATGTGTGCTCTTTGGGTGAAAATCTCTCCAAGCAAGGAGATACTATACTTCTCTCTCTCTCTCTCTCTCTCTCTCTCTCTCCAATGCTCCTCTCCCTTTGCTGCTATTGCAGCTGCTAGAGAGCCATTGTCATCTTACTGTTACCACTGCTCAATGTTTCACCTTCCTCCCTCCATCTTAATTTCTCTCCCTTGTCTCTATCTTTCTCCCCCCTTTTTTCCTCTCAATCCACTAATCCTAGATCTAAGGGAGTATAGACATGATCCCAATCCAAAGGTTATAATGCAGTTGCAGGTTGAACTGCTGCCCCGGATGGTTGAACCATTGACCTGTGACCCAGAAGAAAAAATGGTTCCGTTTCCAGGTTGCTTTTTAGAACACTTCTAGTTTATGAAGTTAAATGTCATTTTTAAAAATTTTAAGTCTTGCTAAATTTAATAAATTTCTAACATGTACATATCTTTTTGTAGTATAATTTGTTATAACTCTATTTTACATATTTTAGAAGTGTTAATGCCATAAACCATGTTTAGAAGTATTTGTGCAGTATCTGGTATCGTATCCGACACTGATATGCTATGTAGCGGGATACTCAAGGAAGACATAACTTTAGTATCAAATTTGACACAAGAGAGGCTCAGATCATGCAAAACAAACACAACAAAAGACTCTTGAGGGAAGATTGAAAGCATGTTTGTCACAATGCAACAAGTGATGTGGGGATTGGGACTTAAGGATTCTTGACAGCAATCTATTAGTTAAGTACATTGTGGTTTGAATAGCGTCTCTCTGAAAATGAGTGTGGACGTTCATTTGAAAAGTAAACATCTTGTTACTTCTACAACATGCTTGTTCTTTCTTTCTGCTACGCTATTTTGTTGAGGTGTATACATGCAAGAGCTTTTATGAATAACAACCCTTTTCATCAAGAAACAAAGTGAGTCCCTTCTCAAAATATTTCTCTTCATTGTTAGATCTAAAAACTTTTATTTTCTTCTCAAATTGATTCTCTACTATGTGGTAAAAATTTTTGATAATTTGTGGAACCTCTTCTTTGCCCTTAAGGAGATATAGCCATGTGAATCTAGAGAAATCATCAATAAATAACATAAAGTATCTGTAACCATCCATGCTGGCCAGAGAATAAAAGCCCTATACATCATGCACGATATGAAATGGAAAAGCACTTCTTCTATTGCTTGGAAAATAAGTTTCTCTACAATGTTTTGAGAATTGACATGTTTTGCACTGAAGACTAGCCATCGACATAGACATAAAAAGATTGGGAAACAATAATTACAAAGATTCAAAGGACACATGGCTCAAATGACTATGCCACAACTTTATTTGATTCACCTACTCATAATCACAAGGACACTGAGAGGAACATGCCAAAGATTGAGCCGTTTCCTGGTTGAGAAGGTAAACTCCATTGTCTTCAATTCGTCATTTCCACTTCCAATCATCTTCCTAGTTTTTAGGTCCTAAAAAACACAATGATCAGGATAAAAAAAATTAGACAACAATTCATGGTTTTTGTAAGAGAATTGACAAATAACATATTAGCATGACTTGAAATCTATAAATCAATGAAATAATAAAAAATTACAAGAGAGAAAGATGGAAGATTAAGGAAAAAAATGTGCAGCTGTCCCCATGTATTGGTATATCTATCGATTTACTAAATAGGTGTACATTGACCAAAACACCTATGGTTTCCCCAAGAATATAAAAAAGAATAAACAGCTAGTAAACAAATAACATAAAGGTTATGTGAACAAGAACAAGTACACTCTCAACACTCCCCCTCAAGTTGGGAATATATATCATTCCCAACTTGCTTAATGCTCCACCTTGTTCTTAATAACTCCTTTAGTAAAGATGTCATATAGCTGCATACTTGATGCAACTGATGGCAAACAAACTTCACCATAAGATATCATCTCTCTGATGAAGTGTCTATCTACCTCAATATGCTTGGTCCTATCGTGTTGAACTGGATTGTGCGAAATGTTAATGGTAGCCTGACTGCCTGATTGCCACAATACAACATCAAAGGCTGCCTAAACTAAAACCCAAGCTCTCCAAGTAAGGATTGGATCCATAAAAGATCAAACACACCATGAGCCACGGACCTATACTCAACCTGTACATTGGAGTGAGCAAGTCTGTTTCTTAGGGCCCGTTTGGTTTGTGGGAATAGGGATCTGGAATAAGATGTTTGGTTGGGTGGAGCCGGAATCCCATTCTCATTCCTGGTGAAATGGCATTCCTCCATTTGAGGGAATGGACATTCACTCCCCCTCTCTTGGGAATGAAATTCCATTCTAGCTGATTTAATTCCCATTCCTATTCTTGTCTGAACCAAACAAACTATGGGAATAGATCATTCCGATTCCGATTCCGATAAATCTTGATTTTGATTCTTCTTCTGATTCCAACTGCGAACCAAACGGACCATTACTTTTCCAAGATACTAATTTGCCCCCAACAAGAGTGTAGGAATCTGATGTAGACCTTTTATCCTCCAAGGAACCTGTTCAATCTGTATCTATATAAGCTTCCACCTTTATGTGGCCATAATTCATAAACAAAATGCTCCTACTGAGGTGCTTCTTTAGACAAGCAAGAATCCTGCTAGTAGCAGCCAAGTGGCAACTCCTAGGAGCATGCGTATACTGGCTCACTACGCTTGTTGTATAAGAAATACTAGGTTTAGTCATGTACAAGTAAAGTAATTGACCAACTATTCTCTGATAGCCCCAACATCCTTTGCAACTTTCCTTAGGACCTTTAATCCTATGATTTTGGTCAATAGGTGTGTTAAGTGGTTTAATACATTAATACCAAACTTGCTCATCTCCTTCAATAGATACTTACGTTGGATAATGAAAATCCTATATTTGGATTGAACCACTGTTTCAAGCACATAAAAGTAATGGAAGAACATAAACAAGAGAGATGCTCCTAAGTTATGCTAGAGGAGAAGATCGAGCAACTAATGTCCTCGGAAATTTCCTTTGCCTTTTCTGCTTTCAGTTTGTCTGGTGAGTTTACCTATTATTGTTCTTCAACTAATAATCTTTGGCGCCTCCAATCATATGATGGGGGCAACTTGTGGTTAGTCTTCCTATCCTATTTCTTCTAATAAGCATATTGTTACAGTTAATGGTTAGAAGCTTGATATTGTTTGCTGTAATGGCTTATCCTTGGCTATCTCTCTCTCTTATCCTTTCTTATTGCTTCAAACTCTATTTGTTCCTAAACTTACCAATAATCTAATATTGTTGGTTGGATTGTTGAACATGGTAATGTTGTCACTTTCTCACATGATAGTTGTTTAATAGAGGACTAGTGCACTATGGAGGTTAGGGGCATTTGGATAGACTAGGACGACTCATTGCACTGGAATTTGAGGAGAAGCTCGTTTCTATTGCTACTAGTTCTTGTCTTTTTTCTACTACTGCTAGTTCTCATGTTTTGTCTTGTAATAGTGATTGGGACCTATGGCACCGTCTTGTAGAGAATCCATTTGCAAAGAAACTTGATTCACTTCTATCTTCTAGATATTTACCTTCATCTACATCTACTTCAAAGAATATTGATAAAACTTGCATGTCTTGTTATTTTTAGTAAAAGTCATGTTTTTCCATTTCCTGTTTCAACTTTTTAGTTATTGCATAGTGATATTTGGTCATCTCTTGTGATTTCTGGAATGGAATTTAAATATTTTATTACATTTATTGATGATCATATCCATTACACCTGGATATATTTTCTTCACAAGAAATCTGAATCCTTTTTTGCATTTAAACTTTTTCTTGCTAGGGTTACTTCACCATTTAATGCCACTATTTGTGCCCTTCATTTGGATTCAGGGGGAGAGTACATTTATGGAGAGTTTTAGACATATTTGTAGCAACATGATATACAACCCTAAAGATCTTGTCCTGACACTCCTCAACAAAATGAAGCGGTTGAATGCAAGAATGGCCACATCTTGATTGTTGTAAGAACCATGCTGTTGGATTCCCATGCTCCAACAACCTTCTAGATGGGGGCGGCCAACATTGCTGTACATCTCATTAATATTCTTCCATTGTTTGTTCTTGGTAACCTTTCTCTACATCAGTCCCTTTTCAACTCATCTCCTAACTTCTCTTTGCTTCATGTCTTTGGGTATATCTATTTTGTGCATATTCCTCCTCATGAGCATACTAAGTTGTTGCTTCATGTGCTTTCTTGGGGTATAGTCCTGGTCATAAG